CTTAACTTCTAAGAAAAGTTTAGTCTTAAGTTGATTTTGCTGCCTGTGTTAGGAAGTGGACACATTTCATATTGCTGTGACCTTTTCACTGCTTAAAACACATGGAATTGTTCTTTTCATACAACTTTCAACAAAATTGTGTATCCCTATTCTCAACCTTGAAACACTGTTCTTTATATGTCCCCAGAGATTTCTGAGACAGAGAGAGTAAAGCAAAACCATATCAAAAAAAGGATGCGGCAGACACTCAGAGGAAAACAAAGAGGAGGCACATGAATGGGAGCTCACCAATTCTGCATGGCCAATACATACACGAGTTGTGATACCCATTTATTATATGATGGATGATTTGGTTTACAGTACCTTCCTTGTGGTCATCCCTACAGCCATATATCGTTTCCTACTTCATCAAATAAGTAATATTTTCTTGCCTTTATTTGTTGAAAAAAATTTCTGATGAACACTTTGTGAAAAATCTCCCCCTTGCTTCTGCAAGTCTCTGGCTTGTTCCTTATACAGGCAGTGCTTACCATCATAATCCATGTTCTGTTATAATTGATATTGAAATATGCCTGTATTCTGCACCAAGAAAGAAAGAACAACACACCCAACTAGACAGAGAAATGTGTTAAAATTATTGGCTGATAATAGATTATAACATTTTGTGTTCTAACATTGAAAGCAGGTGAAGCAGAGCAAATGAATGAAATTGTATATTTTTCCTGGGTATTGCGAGCATGAGTAAGGAATTGAGTTTTTGCTTTGAAAAATCTACAATCACTTATTAATCATAAGTTTGAAAAATGTGCCTTATTTTAAACTATATTTTTTCTTTTCTTTTTTTATTGAAGTGTAATTGATTTACAGTATTGTGTTAGTTTCAGGTATACAGCATAGAGACTCAAGTTTTTTGCCGATTATGTATCATTATAAGTTATTTTAAGACATTGGGTATAATTCCCTGTGCTATACAGTACTTCCAGGTTGCTCATCTATTTTATGTATGGTAGTTTCTATCTGTTAATCCCATACTTCTAATTTGTCCCTCCCTCTCTCTCCCCTTTAGTAATCATAAGTTTGTTTTCTATGTCTGTGAGTCTATTTCTGTTTCATATATAGATTTATTTGTATTTTCTTTTAGATTCCAAATATAAGTGATATCACATAGGGTTTGTCTTTGTCTAACTTACTTCGCTAAGCATAATATTTTCTAGGTCCATCCACGTTGCTGCAAATGGCAATATTTCACTCTTTTGTATGGCTCAGTAATATTGCATCCTATATACAAACCACACCTTCTTAAGCCAATCAACTGCTGATGGGCACTTGGGTGGCTTCCATGCCTTGGCTATTATAAATAGTGCTGCTATGAAAATTGGGGTGCATGTATCTTTTGGAATTATGGTTTTCTTTGGATATATGCCCAGGAGTGGGATTGCTGGATGATATGGTAGTTCTATTTTTAGTTTTTTAAGGGACCTGTATACTAGTTTCCATAGTGGCTGCACCAATTTACATTCCCACCAACAGTGTACAAGGGTTCTCCTTTCTTCACACCCTCTCCAGCATTTATTGTTTGTAGATTTTTTGATGATGGCCATTCTGATTCGTGTGTGGTGATACCTCATTGTGGTTTTGATTTGAATTTCTCTAATAATTAGTGATGTTGAGCATCTTTTCATGTGGCCTGTTAGCCATCTGTCTGTCTTCTTTGGAAAAAATGTCTAGTTAGGTCTTTTGCCCATTTTTTGATTGGGTTGTTTTGGTTTGGTTTTTTGAGCTGTTTGTATATTTTGGATATTAACCCCTTGTCGGTCGCATTGTTTGCAAATATTTTCTCTCACTCAGTAGGTTGTCTTTTCATTTTGTTAAAGGTTTCCTTTGCTGTGGAGAAGCTTTTAAGCTTGATTAAGTCCCATTTGTTTATTTTTGCTTTTATTTCTTTTGCCTTGAGAGACTGATCTAAGAAAATATTGGTATGATTTATGTCAAAGCGTGTTTCGCTTATGTTCTCTTCCAGGAGTTTTATGGTGTCATGTCTTACATTTAGATCTTTAAACAATTTCAGGTTTATTTTTGTATATGGTATGAGGGAATATTCTAAATTTCATTGTTTTACATGTAGCTGTCCAGCTTTCCCAACACCACATGTCGAAAAGACTGTCCTTTCTCAACTGTATATTCTTGCCTACTTTGTTGAAGATGAATTGACTATAGGTGCATGGGTTTATTTCTAGGCTCTCTTGCCTTAGTAACTAACAAGACTCTGATAATTGCTCCAAAGGATCTGTTGATTGCACTTCTTAATTTTCTTATGAACCTTTGACCATCTAGAAAATGGAAGTCCCCTTGGTATAACAGCTCCTACTGCATGGTATAATATCTTGATCCATAGATATTTCTCAATTTAATTACTGGCCAAACTCTTTTATATAGTTTTCCATTTTGAACTATAAAGAAATATGCTCAGTATAAGTAAAAGTGACTTCAAACAAAAGAGTAATAGTAACAGTTTCTATTGTTCAGTAAATCTAATAATAATCTTATATTGCTTACTATATTTCACAAAGTATTTTCAAATACATTATGCCATTTAATGCTTACAAAACACTTTGAGGAAAACAAGACAGTATTTTACCATTATTAAAGATAAGGAAACTGAGCCTATCTATGTTCAGAGTGAAATTGGGACTTAAACTGTCATATTTTTACTCAGCTTAAATGTTGAAGTTAATGCTGTATCTTGTCCTCTGTGAATCATATTCTGTTTTCTAATATTTGCAATAAATCCCCAAGCTTCAAAATACAGGATTTATTAAGCTTTTTAAGGTCCTTCCATTTGAAACTTCACTTGAGTCTACTTTCCCTGAAACTGTCTAGTTCAACAAGCATTCTCTATGTTCTCCATGCACCAGAAAGTGTGCCACGCATGGTGATTCATGCTATTTCTCAAATGGTACACAAGTTACATCAGTATCATCTGGGAATGTGGAAAAAATAGCAATTTCAGACATTCTGAACTAGGCAATTGGAATTCTAGGCAAAAGCACATGGAAATGTGTAGTAACAATTCCTAATAATCTGATCAAGAGGTAAATGTGCAAAAACTAAAATAAATTAAAAATTAAATTAAAAAAAGAGATAAAGATGGCAAACACTGTGGAAGGACAAAACAGTTCTATATTTGGAATCACAGGATCACCATTAAATGTGTGATTTAGGAAGGAATGGAGTAGGTCATTATTAAAACCCTTCCGTGGCACAATTTCTTTATTTACAGTGTAGGAATAATAATACATTGGAATGCAATAAGCCATGCAATAAGCCATGCGACAGACAACTTCCTCCCCAGAAAGGTTAAATAACTTTGGTTGGTGTATAGTAAATAAGATAAAGGATCTTCAGTGCTTAGATCATAGAAGGCCTTTGTATCAGTTTATTAGGGCTGACATAGCAAAATAACACAGACTAGGTATTTTAAACAACAGAAATTTATTTTCTCACAGTTCTAGAGGCTCAACATCCAAGAGCTAGATGTCAGCAGGCTTTATTTCTTCTGAGACCTCTCCTTGGCTTGCAGATCGTTGCCCTCTTGCTGCCTCTTCCCATGTTCTTTTCTCTGTGCATGCACACCCCTAGGGTCTCTCTGTTGTCCTAATTTCCTCTTGCAAGGACACAGGTTGGATTGGATTAAGGTTCACTCTAATAGCCTCTTTCAACTTAATCACTACTGTAAAGGCACTATCTCCAAATACAGTCAGATTCTGAGATAGTGGACGTTGGAGATTCAACATACGGATTTTGAGAGACACAATTCGTTCCATAACAGCATTCAGTAAATTTTAGTTGTCTGACATTTTGCCCTATTCCCTACCTCCTTCTTTACCCAACTCATTGGTCCCACACAACCTCTGTATCTGCTCAGTTCTATTTGCTGCCCAGAAGTTATTTCCTTTAGCAAATCTGATAACCTAAAACTTGTTAATGATGATTAGTTTGTGTATTGGTATATTTTAATGCTTCAAAGCAACACATTTACATAAACTTGAAGGCAAGTTTGGTGTCTTCACAGGACAGTGAGTAGGGTGAAGATTTCTAGTATGCAGCCCAACTATAAATGGAGATCTTTTCAGAAAGTTTTGTTACTCTTAAAATCTATCACGTGGACCACTGTGTTTTTGAACTGTACCTAGGTTTGGACCTAGATAATCTGTGTGATTTTATGAGAGTCTGCTTTTTTACCTGTTCTATATTCTGGAAAATAAATTATAAATACCATAGTAGTGTGACATTTTAAAATTGTATCACCTTTTCCCTCTGGACAGAATGTTCATGATTTATAATTTGTGTTTCCATCTTTACTTTTAGCTTTCAAATTTTTCAAACATATGCGTGTCTGCTTCCTTTTCTTGCTGTCAAATTTAGTGATAAAAAAGAATTTTTCCTCGCTGTTCGCTTAGATTCTTCTCAGTGAGAATTACTTCACAAAAAACAATTCAGGAAATATTAATGCAGTATTTCTTTTTGAATCTGATGTGCTTTAGGATCGTACATTTCTTGTTAAATTATTATTAAGCTTCCATGACGGATCCCTCTCTCTGTCAGACCCTTTGGCCCTTGTATACCATCTGCAAAACATTTCTAAAACACACTGTCTGTAAGAAATCCAATAAAGTAGAGCCTGTATGTCAACTTGATGATCATTCTTTAGAAATGCCTATGGAAAGTGTGTGCTTTTTTCTTTATTTTTCTCTTTTTAAAATGGGTTAAATAATTTCTCATAAACAGTTTTAAATTCTGTTTCATATTTTCATTTCATTCAAAGAGCTTTTCATTTGAAAATTTACAAAGGAAAATGACATTTATATTTTCAGGTTTAATATCAAGAATTAAGAGAAATTTTAATAGCCAACATGGGTCTTTTCCATAATTTTTAACCAATAAATTTCGACCACGTTGTCAGTTGTTCCTGTTTTGGTCAAATGTGTTGATATTTGCAGGGATGAAGAACCAGGAGGCCAGCTGGTTACAGATAAGTTCCATTTTGACTGGGATTCAGTACTTGTTGGCACGGGTAACGTCATCACAGCACGGTTTGATGGCAGAGGAAGTGGATTCCAGGGCCTGAAAATTTTGCAGGAGATTCATCGAAGGTTAGGCTCAGTGGAAATAAAGGACCAAATAGCAGCAGTGAAGTAAGTGAATGTACATTTTCTTATCGTTTTTCCTGTAATGAGAAACTAGATATGTGATATAGAATACTTAGCATTAGTAAATGCTAAGAGATTTATATTTTAATGATTAAACAATTTTCTAAGTTAATCATAAAGACTATTTTTTCAAGTATCTTTCACTCTCAGTGACATAATAAAAGAATTATCATACTTCCCCCTCTGGAATTAGAATCCACTTTGGACTTATGAAAATGGGAGAGACCTTAATTAAACTACTATATTATTTATTTACAATAATCCACAGTGTCTATTATTGTCCCAGTTAATTACAGTTCTTGAACTTTCACAGATACCTTTCCCACACTGGCATGAAAAAGTGACCTGAGAAAACTAGTAGGTTCTTTAAAACAGTATACAGACATTAGCTAGGATATTGTTAAAATACAGATGTTGATTCAGTAGGCTGGTAATGGGCCCAAGACTCTGCATATGTAACAAGCTAACAGGTGTGATACCCAGACTACTGCACCACCACTCTGAGTAGCAAGATTTTGGTATACAGGACCCTTCTACATGAATAGAGCTGCAACCACTAAAGCAGTCTCGTTTGACCTATGTTTTGTTCTGTTTTGTTTTTTTTCTTGTTGCTAAGAATGGATTTCTATGGTTCATTTAACTCAAGAAGACATAGCTATAATTTTTTCTTTTTTCATTTCAGATTTTTACTGAAACAGCCATACATTGACTCCAGAAGATTAAGCATTTTTGGAAAGGTAAATAGTAGAAATATGTGTGTGTACATTATGTGTTTGTATATGTACTTGCATAACTACTTTCCTCATTTTACTATAATTTCTCTGTATTATCCTTTAAAATATAATATTGTAATTAATATTATATAAATTCAGTTATTTATTAATCCTGCAACTGTTTACTGAGTATCTTTAATTGATGCATGGTGTTAGAAATAGAGCAACAATAGGACAAAAAAAAGGAATCATTTTCAGGAAGATTATCTTCTAAAGAGGAGAAGGAGAAAGTAAATGGATAAATGAAAAACATAGTTTCATCTGGTATTAAATCTTATAAGGAAAACAAACCAAGAAAAACGTGACGGATAAAAGATAATTACAGGAAGGGCCAATGTTATTAAATTGAGTGGTCAAGTAAGGCCCCTCTGATTTAAGTGATATTTAGGCTGATACCTAAATAACAAGAAGGAGTCAGTCACGCAACTCTATTGAGGGAGCAATTTCTCCAAAGAAGGAACAAGCACCACAGCCTTGCGGAAGACAACATGGCTTAGAAACTAAAAGGTGACTGGAATGCATAATTATGTCTTCTGTGCTTACTGCATGATATTTACTTCCTTTAAAAAATTTTTTATTAAAGTATAGTTGATTTACAATGTGGTATTAGTTTCTGGTGTAGAGCAAAGTGATTCAGTTATTTTTATATATATATATATATATATATGTATATGTATTCTTTTTCATATTCTTTTCCATTATGGTTATTTAGAAGATACTGAGTATCGTTCCCTGAGGATATTTACTTCTTATAGCAATAATTTTTATGTCAAGTTCAATATCATCTTCACAAGAAGAAATTAGACCCCATATAGATATTTATTGAGCACCTAGTTTATACATATCACTGGGCTAGACATTATAAAGATACTAAGATGACAGGAAAGAGATTTTGTACTATTTTAGTTTAGAGACAAAGCAAATTCTTGGCCTTCACTGATTTAAACAAAATACGTTCTACTATTCATAATGAACCCAAAGACTCATGACAGCAAGTAACTGGTAGTTTTACTGGGGCACAAACTTTCGTGGTGTACACTGACAAGTAGGTCCATGAAAATCTACTTAACACATAGTAAAATATAAAACAACATGCATCACTACCATTCTCCCCCCACTTCAATCTTCAGTGCATCATGTTTTTGCTATATTTAATTCTTGGTGTCAGTAATATTTAAGAGTTCAATAAAAATATTTTGTGAATAATGCCCCTCTCACATAAGTACAAACAAATAAATAAATAAGAGCCCACCACTAGCAGTAAAGATATTAGTGAAACAATGAAAATATCTAAGAAAGTAATCATTCCAAATAAATGAAAACGCTATAGATGCATCAACAAGTGCATATAGTAAAGTCTTATCAGGTGCTGCAGCATGGATGAAACTTGAAGACGTGTGCTTGGTGAAGTGAGCCAGTTACAGAGGGACAAATACTGTTTTATTCAACTTACATAAAATATCTAGAGTAGTCAAGCTCATGGTGGTTGCCAAGGCTGGAGGGAGGGAAAAGGAAAGTTGTTTTTAATGGGGGTAGCATTTCAGATTAATGTGAATACACTTGACATGACTGAGCACTTAAAAGTGGTTAAGATGGTAAATTTTACATTATGTGTTTCTTACCACAGCAAAAGATGCATATCGTAGAGAACATTTTACCCTTTAGTGGTCCTAATATACGTAATAATTTACAAAGGACTTAGAGCTTCTGTATTTCAGGCTCCACTTGTATACACATAAATGAGTATAAAAGACCAAATGAGCTATACAAACATTTATGAATATGGAAGTTTAGCAAAGATTCGGAGAGTTGTAAAATGCATTATGAAGACAGCGAAACATGAACTGGATGTTGAGAATCATTCAGCAAGTAGAAGACAAGGAAAAGAGTTTCATGTAAATGCACAGTGTCAGTGAGGAGAGCCTGTTTGGAGAACATGAAATAAAGTAATTGACTAAAATTAAGGCTCGCATAAGGAGGTGACAGTTGACAGCACTGAGAGGAAGCCTGGGCACAGATCTCAGTGAGTCCTCCATATAAACTAGAAAATTTAGATGCTCGTCTAGAAACATGGGGAAATAAAACTGGAGCCTTCAGATTTAGAATTTCAAAAATCTTATGTTTATCATTGTATTAGGGGCTGTAGCATTGTATTAGGGGACTGCTGAGTCTCAGGCAATTTACTCTGGCAATCTAAATATAGGATAAACTGACATAAGATATAAACAAACAAAAACATAACTAGATATATTTTAAATGGAAAAATATTCCATTTCGATTTAAAAAAATATGCGTATCTTTGACTAAGTTATAACTCAGAAGGTGGCTTTCTTAGCATATAAAGGAATGTTGTTAGCTTTAAGACTCAGTAGGTCTTGTGATTTTTTTTAATGTACTTGTTTTATTTCAGTATCAAATTGTGTTAAACTCATAAAATTTGCTGAGGAATTATGTTCTTTTTCTAATTGTCGGGAAAAGCTTGCTTAGAATTGGAGTTAGATTGTAAAGTATCTGGCGTTATTGCTTTCTTTGTTAGAAAAAATTTAATTAATGTTTAAATGTATTTAATCAATACAGGACTATTACGATTTTTCCATTTCTTCTGGAGTCAGTTTTTGTACTTTTTGTTTTTCTTCCAGTTTTATTGAGATAAAATTGACATACAGCACTGTATAAGTTTAAGATGTACAGCGTAATGATTTGACTTACATACATCATGAAATGATTATCAGAATAAGTTCAGTGAACAGCCATTATCTCATATAGATATAACATTAAAGAAATAGAAAAAAATTGTTTTCCTTGTGATGAGGACTCAAGATTTACTGTTTTAACAATGTTCATATATAACATACAGCAGTATTAATTATATTTATTATGTTGTACATTACACCCCTAGTACTTATTTATCCTATAACTAGAAGTTTCTACCTTTTGACTGCCTTCATCCAGTTCCCCCACTCCCCACCTCTATGGCACTACATTAGTTCCTGTTACACAGCATAGTGATTTGATATTTCTATACATTTCAAAATGATCACCAAGCTAAGTCTAGTTACGATATGTCACCATACAAAGATAATGCGTAATTTCTGACTATATTCCCCACACTGTACATTTTATACCTGTGACTCATTTATTTTGTAACTGGATGTTTGTATCTCTTAATTTGTGTTTTGTACTTTTAAAAGTATTCTTTCCATTTCATATTTTATTCAAGAACATTCTCAAAGTGTAACGTATCCTCTTATTACATGTTTAATCCTTTTACTAGTGGTGGCAGTGTCCCATTTGGACTCCCGGGTTGGCTTATTAGTGCCCCTTTGCTCTTGCTGAAGCACCTCTTCTGCTCTGGGCTGCCTGCACTCACTCTTGCACTTGCTCTTGTCCCCCGTGTCTTCTCCCTTTCATCTCTCCCTCCTTTTCCATGAACCATATTTTGGGCTTAATTTTTCTTCTCCATTTATCTTTGTTTTCTATTTCACTAACGTCTACTCCTCGTGTTATTACGTTTTCTTCTATCTTTTATCCCATATTGTTTTTAAATTACTATGTTGAATGTCTAGCTTATTAGTTTTTAGCATTCTTCCTTTCAAATATAAGCCTTTGAGTTATGAAATCCCTTTGCAGTACTCCCTTAGGTACTTCCCACCGGTACTAATGTAATACTTTTAAAATTTAATGTATGTATTTCTCAATTTCCAGGGTAAGTATGCCCTCTGAATTGTTTTTATTATTTTTATTCCAATATTCTTATAGAAGTTTTGGCAACTTTCTATAATTGACTTTGGTTATAACTGAATTGTAATCATAGAATTGACTAGAATAGCAGAAATCCTTTGAAACCTCAGTTGATTCATGACTTAGGAAAGGAATGATTTATAAAACTTTCACCTCTGCTTAAAAGATTTAGTGTTACATATATGCCCGTTTAATCAAACTTGCCCATCATGATGTTCAAATCATAAACTTACTTTATGATTTATTTTGTCTCTAATTTCCAAGAAAGCTGTATTAAAATGTCACATTATAATGGTGAACTATTCAGTTTCTCCTTAGTAGGCTAATTTAGTCTTTATATTTTAAGACTATTTTTATTCATTCCCTCCAAGTTCAGATTATTATATCTTCTCAGAGAACTGAATCTTTTATTGTTTTTCACCAATCCAGTTTATTTCTATTAATTTTTTATTTTATGGATTTTTAAAAAATATTAAAATTACAACACCAGCATTCTTTTGACTAGTACACATTGTTTTTGCTTTTCTATCTTATCATTTTCAAACTTCATCCTCACAATTTAGGTATTTGAAGATTGCATTTATTTATATAAATTGTGATTACCGATACATTTAAATGTTATAGTTTTCATCATTTCTGCCTACTGTCTTATTTGTTCTATTTTTTTTCCTTTCTCCCATTCATCTTGATTAAGTTTTTTTTTCTTTTTTCTCTTTTTTTCCTTTTTCTGAATATATTTTTGGTTTTGTTGTCTGCTTTTGCAAGGAATTGCCAAACATTTTCCAAAGGAGTTATATCATTTTATTTTACCAACTGCTGTATATGAGAGTTCCAGGTGCTCTACATCCTTACCAACAGAGTATCATAAGCCTTTTTAATTTAGAAGTTCTCTGATGATTAATAATATTGATCATTTTTTCATGTGTTTATTGACATATATATATATTTTTAACACAACTGATTTATTGACCATTTATGTTGTGCAACAGACACGTTTTAAGGTTTACTAAATCAGAGGGAGTATATTATAGTCACAAATTTGCCCCTCCCTTTTTTCAACTTTTAAATTGAGATACAATTGACATACTAAAAATCATCATTACACAATAATAGTGTATCTAGAAATGAGATAGTAGAAGTTCTTTCATCTTGTTCTTTTTCAGAATTCTTTTGTCTCATCTAGGTATTGTATTTCTTTAAAAATTTTAGAATCATCTTTTGTA